CACACACACACACAGACACACACACACACACACACACAAACAAATATACACACTTGTGTTGAACCATAATTCTGCACTGTACAGCACTTACTTAAAGCCGTCTAGGGATTATACGCGAGTATTTAAATTCACATTATTATTGTTATTATTATCAGTATTATTATTGCGAAACCCAAAAGACTGCCCCGCAACAGACGACGTAATACTAACATTAACTGTACCCTTCGTCTCACTCAGAGGGCAAACCAAACAGGAACATCTGGGGACTCTACGATGCGTGGCTCGTTGTGACGCCTTGCATGAAAGACGCTCTAAACCTTATTCAAAAAGTGGTGATTAAAATTACATACTTTTCCCAATATCTTAAGAGAAGACAATCCTAGTCCCCTAAATATCTGTTCCCCTTTCTCATCCCATGCACAACTTAACCATTATGACACAGTATTAGCTGGGTACAAAATTACTACAGGCAGTTTCCATGCGTTCATGAGTCAAAATTCGATTGTGATCTGAATTTGCTTTCGTCTGTCTTGGAGGAATATTGTGTTCTCTTAATGTCATGTCCTCTAGAGATGAACTGGAGGAGCTTCCATCTTCTTTCAAAATTATCTAATTTTGAAGTAAAAAGTTAATCTGGACCCCCATTCTTTACTTTGCGTAGCGTCAGTGGTCTAGTGGTTAGGCCGTCTAGCTCGTAACCGAAATGTCATGGGTTCGAACTTCATCAAGAGCCCGACGTTGTGCCCTCCTGAAGGGTACTTTACATCAAATTTCCTCGTTTCACCCAGGCGGGAAGGAGTACTCTGCTTAGACAGCCAAAAATCATGTCAGTTTGTTAGAGTGCTAAATCGGGTACTTGCCCTGTATGCTTCTCGGGAATCTCAGAATGTTCCTGAGTATGCTATGATCTGCACAGGTAATACGCAAAGCAATCGTAAGGTTCACAAACCATGCTGTAGAACATGGATATGCTGTATAAATGCAGTTACCATTATTACTATTTAAAGCGTCTTTTACTAATAATGTCACGGTAGCCCAAATATTGCTTCACATGGGGTAGACACCTCAGTTGTACACCCTTGGTCAAGTGATTTCTGAACGGGGAGTCCCAAGTTCACTTTTACCAGTTGTGTTTTGTAACGGCGGGCTTAACTACACCGGGTCCGTCCGTTTTCCGAGAATGCTAGAAGTCTGAATTGACTACTTTTTAAAAATTATTTTGTTTCTATAATTTGTTTACGTGGTTTAAACCTGACAATACACCGGGTTTCGATGGGGTTTTTTAGACTTTGAAGTGTACATGTATTGTAGAGTACGATGATTTGATCTGAACATCCTAGCTGAGGTTTCATTTCGAAAATGTTACCAGTACTAGGTGGTTCAAAGTTGAAATAAGCTTAGTTTGTTTGTTTGTTTGTTTTGTTTGTTTGATTGATTGTTTATTTGTTTGTAGTTTTTTTATTGCTTTGGTTTCTTTGTTAGATAGTTGGGTTTTTCAAGGGGTTGGGGGATAGATTTAAAAAAATTTCTTTTGAAACAGTTTTTCCAACTTTAAGTTAAGAGCCTTGCAGTGGATAAGAAAAATAAGGATGTGGCTAGGTATATGTGTTGTATATTTAGTTGCCTTTTTAATTTCTTCAGTTATTTTTTTTTATTCACTTATTCATTTAAAAAATGTATGTATAGCAATTTATTATTTTGTTTAGCTAATTTGGTCAGTAAGAAAAGCATTTGTTTTATGATTTATTTATTACTGTATCAATTTATCAGCTTATTTTTCAATTATTGGATTTACATTGATGATTATGTGCTGAAGGTTTTAAATAGTTTAAAAATCATATATTGAAAAATGTTTACCATGGTTTAAATGTTTCCCTTTATCACTCTCAAGATTATATTGTTTTATTCTAATTTCCAAAAAAGATATTTACTCCTTTATTCATTTATTCATTTATTCATTTAGTCATTTGGTCAGTTAGTGAGTTAGTGAGTTAGTTAGGTAGGTAGGTAGGTAGTTAGTTAGTAAGTTAGTTAGTTAGTTAGTTAGTTAGTTAGTTAGTTAGTTAGTTAGTTAGTTAGTTAGTTAGTTAGTTAGTTAGTTAGTTGTACATAACAATTTTTTAAGCAGCGGTGAGCCTCAACTTATTACAACCTCAGCGTTAGGCAAATTACAAACATAGCTATCTCATGGCGCTCATATGATCTTATGCTGTTGCGAGTGACGAAAAACATCTACTAAAACAAGCTATCTAACTTCTTCAAATCAAGAGATACTCTTAATGCTCGTACAACTTGTTGAAGGAACAGCGAGCTAGCCAATTATACTCTCTCTCTCTTGCTCTCTTGCTCGCTCTCTCTCTCTCTCTCTTTCTCTCTATTTCTCTCTCTCTGTGTCTTCTCTCTTTCTCTCTCACTCTCTTTCTCTCTCTCTCTCTCTCTCTGTCTCTTGCTCGCTCTTTCTCTCTCTCTCACTCTCTTTCTCTCTCTTTCTCTCTCTATCTGTGTCTTCTCTCTTTTTCTCTCACTCTCTTTCTCTCTCTCTCGTTCTCTCTTTCTTTCTCTCTCTCTCTTTCTCTCTCTCTCTCTCTCTCTCTCTCTCTTCGTCTCTCTTAGTGACTCTCTTTCTCGGTCACCCCCCCCCATATTATATCTTTCTTTTGTCTTCTGCCTCTCACTTTGTATCTCTCACTCACCCTGCTACTATGTCTCCCCCCCCCCCCCCGAACTTTTTCTATCTTTTTCTTTCGTTCTACTCTCTCTCTCTTTCTTTCTTTCTTTCTTTCTCTCTCTCTCTCTCTCTCTCTCTCTCTCTCTCTCTCTCTCTCGCTCTCTCTCTCCCTCCCTGTTTTGCTCTCTCTCTTGCTCTCATCCTCTCTCTCTTTCTCTCTCTCTCTCTCTCTCTCTCTCTCTCTCTCTCTCTCTCTCTTTTTCTCTTTCTCTCCCAGTCTTCTCTCGGTGACTCTTGTCTGGACAGAGCGTTTCCTATTCTTTGGCGTTCATTTCCGGCGTCTATAATAGATCAGTCTTAAAGAGTGTGCACACGAGGCTTTAATACAAGTCGAAAGTTGTGCCCCGACGCTATTCAATTTGAAAAACAAATGCAACTAATGCAAACCGAGAGTATACAATAAGATTTTCGAGTTGAATAATTCCACTGTAAGCGCGTCGAATTTCGAATGCAGTATCGCATTCAGCAAGCAAACAAAAAATCGCATCGTCAGCTCCCACTAATGCAGAATTGTCTGCCGATTTTCTTTTGTTTTTGAGAACAAAACAAGCCATGCGTTAGACAGTACGATTTATGGCTTTCTTTCTCCGTTTAGGAGTTTTTAAAAAATCATTTACCGGAATGCAAAAAAGGCGACAGTGTACTTGTATGGGTGTGTTTGTTTGCTGGTTAGTTAGATATATAATTCATTCGCTTGGCAGTAAATCAAATGGGTTTTTTTTTGTTTGTTTTTTTTGTTTGTTCGTTTTGTTTTGTTTTTTTTTTCCTGAGGGTATTTTTATCCTTTCCTCCTTTACTCCCCTAGACTCTTTCTTGCCCTCTTTTCTCCCACCACCCCTTCCACCCACCTCTCTTTCTCTCTCTCTTTCTCTCTCTCTCTCTCTCTCTCTCTCTCTCTCTCTCTCTCTCTCTCTCTCTCCTAGACGTCCGTCTGTATTTCACTGTCTACTCCAAGTAACTTAATCCGATTAGGTGTTGTATTTCAATTTATTTCTGTTACTATTAAACTTTGAAGATGTATTTTATATGTTTGGTTCGTTCCTAAATAGGAGCCTTCTCTTTTATAATTGAATTATATGATTTTTCTTTACTTTAATCTTCTTTTTATTTTTGTTGATTGTTAACTTTGCTCAAATCACTGCGGGTGGCCGTATGGTGCCACTGGTAGGTCCTACTGCTTTACTTTCCCTCTGTTGTTTCTGTCTGTATGTCTTACTTTTTCCCAGCACTAAATGTCCATTATTGTATCGGCAAATGTACGCCTCTTTACTCAAACAAAACACACAAACAAAAGAAGCTTTGCTCGTTCTGATCGTTTATAAATTCTTATTATTCTTTCCCAGCCAGCTACTTTTGCCGATACGTTACTTCCCTTGATTGATACAACTTTACAAGCCTTGCAATGATCTCATTCATCAAAATTCGATTTGGATAGCCGAAAGGAACTGAATAAATGAAACCACAGGGAGATAGTATTATCCTAGAAAACTAATGACAGCCACGCAACGTAACTAAAACAGCAACAGCCTCCCCGTTCCAATACCACCAGAAACCACGGCGCTGATTCGACCAGGCAGGTCAGTGAGTGCGAAATGTCTTCTGCTACTTCTTCTTGATGATATTATTACTCCGTCGTTAATCCTTGCTCGGGGGCGGTTCACATTCCTTTGCTTTGGTTTTGCTTCGCTTGCTTTCGTTTTGGTTTTTACTTTTCTTTTTTCCGTTGCTATTTGTATATTTGTCTCGGTTGAGGTGGGAGGGGGGGGGTTGCCTTTTAAAAAGTTGTTTCGGTTTGTTTTAAAGATTTGATGGGGCCCAATGCTCCTGAATGCTAAAATAGCTGCTAATTGAAAGTGCATTCTTTTTTAAATTTGATTGATTTCTGTTGACCTTTCATATGGCTTTTGTATCAAATTAATTATGTAAAATGTATTCTTAGTGTTCGATTTTGTTTATAATATTATCGTCTTTTATACTTTCGTAGAATGGGGGTGGAGTGGACAGGGTTTAGAAGGGGTTTTCAGTTTCTTCATTCCTTGATATTAGACTTTAGTTCGATTAAGTTCTTCCTTTCTTTCTGTACACGTGTAGAAGAGAATCAGAGGCTGGCTTGGTAAAATAGAATTCAGTATCTTGTGCAATTCCAAGCGGGTGGTTAGAGAGCACCATTAGTAAATCCTACTTCTTTACTTTCCCTCTGTTATTTTTGTCTGTCTGTCTGTCTGTCTGTCTGTCTGTCTGTCTGTCTGTCTGTCTGTCCGTCCGTCTGTTTTTCTTTTTTCCAAGTACTGAATGACCATTATTGTGCCGATGTGCTTCTCTTTACTCCAATAAACTGCCATACCAAAAACGGTTCAGAAAGTCCGCTGAGGCGCCACTCAGGTTTTTGTCTAACCCTTTTGTCAGTAGGGTATCAGTTCTTCTCCTATGTCTCCACACTTTCTGTCAAGCCCTCTACAGTGCAAATGGCTACCTCAGAATTACAAAGATCTAGACTCTATCTCCTGAGTAACTGGTTTTGATAAATTTGACGTAAAAATATTGAGTTCCACAACTTGCCAGAAATGTCCAGACAAGAGTCACGAGAGAAGACTGGGAGAGAGAGGGAGAGAGAGAGAGAGAGAGAGAGAGAGAGAGAGAGAGAGAGAGAGAGAGAGAGAAGATGAGAGCAAGAGAGGGAGGGAGTGGGAGGAAGAGAGAGAGAGAGAGCAAGACAGGGAGAGAGAGAGAGAGAGAGAGAGAGAGAGAGAGAGAAGGCGAGAGAGAGAGAGAGAGTATGAGAACGAAAGAAAAAGAGAGAAGAGAACTTTTTTTAATGCAACTATTGGAATATTTTGAAAACCACTCCGAATAATCTTACAAATTTGATAGTCTCATGCTCAGTACCTCCAAACGGCCAAACATGTCGGATTGAACTTCGTACTTCTGAGGTTGTCAAATGCATAAAATCTCCACCAATAGTTTGTGCACCAAAACCAATAAATCCTTATACTTCCATTCCTCCAAAACCGCCCTATGAAAGACTGGGTTATAGTTGTTGCCTTCAAATGGACCTGGATGTGTCAAATTGGTCATTAGAATCAAGCCAAAACAGAAAATGATTTTAAAGGGCATTTTCTACGTAGTATATAGGCCCAAATCAACTACTCAATCAAAAATTGCATTTTGTTAAATGTTCAATGATTGTCCATTTCTGTACCTAGATCTTATAGAAAACAGCGTGCTTAGACATATGTTAGGTTTTTCTTGTCTGGTGTTTTTGGCTAGCATGCAACATGCAGCACAAAGTAACAATTAACAATGCTCCTGTACCTTTCCCTCTCTTCGAAAGAAAGCGTTATGAAATGTGTGTGTTCTTTTACAGAGTTTTTAACTCTTCTTGGATGGGTTTTAATGTTCTCCTGTTCTCCCTCCCCTCCCCCCTCTCTCTCTCTCTCTCTCTCTCTCTCTCTCTCTCTCTCACCAACACACACACACACACACACACACACACACACACACACACACAGAAACACAGACTCAAAAACAAACACACACGCACACACACTCATACTCCTCTGTGTGTGTGTGTGTGTGTGTGTGTGTGTTTGTGTGTGTGTGCTTGTGTGTGTGTGTGTGTGTGTGTGTGTGTGTGTGTGTGTGTGTGTGTGTGTGTGTGTGTGTGTGTGTGTCTGCGTGCGTGTGTGTCACGAGAATCGAAGTACCGTCTTTAGAGAGAAAGCAAAGATCCTACCTAAGATCCTAACTATTACCACACAATCTATGGTCTGATTTACTATAATATGTTTCTGAGACCCCATCAACGCAGTGTAGACTACTGTGGACTTGGGAACATTTTGGTCTTACCTATCCAAGCCACCCAGGGCTAAGTGGTATTATAGCGCCTCAGGCGACAGACGGGGATACTAAAAAAAACCCACCAAAAAACATGCTTTTCAACTTCGGTGGTTGGCGAATGCTCTGGTATGGTCTGCTCCTTCTTTCCAGCCAAAAGTCTAACGTCCTCATCTCCCCCTCTTTTTTTGTGTTTGTAACTCTCTCTCTCTCTCTCTCTCTCTCTCTCTCTCTCTCTCTCTCTCTCTCTCTCTCTCTCTCTCTCTCTCTCTCTCTCTCTCTCTCTCTCTCTCTTGTAAGATTTCTATCTTCGGTCCTTATACGACCTAATTGTGTTGCAAGTGCCGTAAAACACTTGCCAAAACAAAACAAACAAAAAAGAAATAAAAGCGAACTTTCAAGCAAAAGTCATTCTCACTGCCTCTGTTTGCTCTACTCACTCACTCACTAACTCGAGATCACTCACTCACTCACTCACTCACTCACTCACTCACTCACTCACTCACTCACTCACTCACTCACTCACTCACTCACTCACTCACTCACTCACTCACTCACTTTGAAATAGGCCTGCCTAAAAGTATTACACACAACGACCCTTTCGATGTGTTTTCTTTTTTTTTGTAAAGTGTTTTACGGCGCTCGCAACTGCATAAGGTCATATGAGCGCGCCGGACACACCTAATATTTTCAGTTGGTAGGAAAATTTGAATTTTGCCCGGGTGGCGGCCGAAGCCTACTCTTATAGATTTTAGACCACCAAGGGATCTTTAACGTGCGCAACTCTTGAGATTTTTCGCCCTTGTCCGAGAAGGCTAGGTGTAGATCTTTCCTACCAGAAGATCAGGGGTGTGGCAGAAAGACAGCTGTAAGGAGGAGCCAAGGAGTAGCAGTGACACGGCTGCAGAAAGAGTCAGGAGCGTAGAGGAGGGGGCAAAGACAGTGAAGGGGTGGGGGCAGAAAGTGAAAATGAAAGCAGACTACAGAACATTGCTAGAGAGCAGGAAAGGAGATGAAAGGAGACAATTTTAGAGAAGAAAAATTTTCGGTCGCTACCCGGATTCGAACCCGGGACCTTTGAATGAGAGGCCAACACCTTAACCTCCAGGCCACGAGAGCCCCCCCCCCCCCTTTTTTTATTTTAGATGTTTAAAAAACAAAAAACCTTTTTTCATGTTTTTTCATTAAATTTTGTTGTTCCGTATTTTGAACCCAGTGAGAGAGTGCAATCTCAGAGCCGGATATCTAAGAAAAGGACTGGCTCGATTGCAGATCCGTTACTAATGAAATAGCTTTAATGATCTAATCTGGAATCGATAGTGACAAGATGTTATTACCGGTAGTAAATGGAACATAGTTTGACCTTTATGGGGATATGTGATATTATGACACTGGGTCCACCATTTAAGAGGCTCCGAAAGCACCGGGTCAAATTGATAAATTAACAGTAGATTTTACTCAAAAAGTCCTTTCAAGTTTAATTCGGATTCGAACAGCGAATATTCATATTTTGGAAGATCACACAGAGGTTTACCAAGTGTTTGTAACTAAATGTTGGACACAGCTACTGTGTAAAGTATAAACTTGACTTTCAAGTTGTCAAAGAAAAATAATATGACACTGTCAGAAACGAAGCTGGGCGGGGAGGGGTGGGGAATTCGCTGCTTTTTTTTTCGTTTAACGTAATATTCAATTATCATCACTGTCAGTTGTTGTTACTTACCTGTTTCTTAAACCTACATCAATATTAATTTCAATAAATCCAACATACGGACGTTTCGGATGAAAATTGTTAACCCTTTGTTACCATAGGAAATATTTTTGGTCTTTTATAGAAGAAAACCACTCAGATCACCTTCAGATTCATCAGCTTCTTTTTGCCCTTTAGATCTACGTGTAGTAACATCAACTAAAACAAAGTGCGGTACTTTAAAACTTTGTAATGACAGGGCTAGAGGTCTCATAATTGTGAGATTGCGGTTCGGGGGTTCGAAGGCCTTTCACACGCATTTTCCCTTTTCGCTCGGTTTTTTCGAAGATATACCTTAAATAAATAGTTTTGCAAGAGGAGTTGCACCTATAATATAGTTTCGCAATATATTTTTTTCCTTTTATACGTTTGTAAGGTATGGCCGCTTCAGATCTAATTTACTTTGGGAACGTACAATCATTAGTTCAGAGAACTAATCGCTTTGTCTCTGGTCACATTCCCCTGACATTTCCGAGTACTCTCTCTCTCTCTCTCTCTCTCTCTCTCTCTCTCTCTCTCTCTCTCTCTCTCTCTCTCTCGTTCTCTCTCTCTCTCTCTCTCGCTCTTTGCCTCCGTAACAAGACGATGTAGTAATCGGGTAATTATAAAACATCTAATACTGGGCTTACCCAAAAAAAAAGACTCCAAAACCGGGAAAGAGAGGAGCAACGCTGAGAAATGAGTATTTGCAGATCAAACGGTAATCATCCCTTGACTTTAGAGGATCACTTTCGATATTGGTTCTGGATCTAAAGGAAGGGTCATAACTGCGCCCAACACTCCTTTTAACACCCACTCACACACTTTTGTTCTCTTGCCAGCCTGTCTTTCTTCTTTCCCTCTTCTTTTTTAAAGTTTTAGTAAGAATTTTACGGCACTTGCAACACAATGTCATGTAAGTGCCTAAGATTAGAGGTGTTACAAGGGAGTAACAAACACAAAAAGAAGAAGGGGAGATAAAGATGATAGATGTTTGATAGGAAAAAAGGAGCA